GGAGTTTTTTTTAATGAGGGTAGAGAGGAGGAAGAGGGGAAAGGAGGGTAAAAGTGCCCCCCCCCCCCCCCCCCCGATTTGGGCGGTAGAGGAGGGTAAAGGGGTGTAATGACATTCTTACCCCCATCAAAACAAATAAAAAGCCTGATGTGTTATTAGTATAAAGTTATTTATGTAAATTTACATATATTTACTTCCTTTCACCTTCATTCACCTTACTCAACTCCCAAACAACATATTACAATTCTCTTCCCTTCCCTTTCCTTCCATTCTCATTGTTTACCTTTCCTTCTCTTCCCTTAGGGCCTGTTTGGATTCGTAGGGGGTGAAGGGAAGTTAAGAGAAACTGAGAGAAGGGAAGAGAAGGGAAGGGAAGGGAAGGGAAGGGAGTTCCCTTCTCCTTGGTTACACCCCAATTTGAAGGGTAACAAATTTTATACTATTAGGGGGTGAACCAAGGGGAACTAGGCGTGAATTAACTTCACCTCCTAAGTGTTCCCAAACAAGGTGAATGGAGGTGAATGGTTCCCCTAACTTTCCCTTCACCCTCATTCCCTCATCCAAACAGCTTAGTTACCCTCCAATTTGGGGTGTAACTAGGGCTGTCCAAAACAGCCGCCGGCCGCGCGGCCCCGGCCGGCCGTGGCCCGCGCTCGGCCCGGCCTCGGCCCGGAAACCCGGGCCAAGTCCGGCGCTCCCGGCCGGCCCGGGCCGGCTCTTTTTGTGCCCGGCCCGGCCCAGAATAGTAGTTTTTTTATTTTTTTTGTTTTTTATTTGTATTATATTATATATGTATATTATAAAATATTATATATATGTATATATATGTATTATAATATATTCTTTATATTGTATAATATATGTATATATATAATATATGTATATATAACATATTTCTATATATGTATAATATGTCATATGTGTGTATATATATACTCTCTCTTAGTATATAAGTATATATAAGTATACTCTCTCTTATGTAAGTATAGTATATGTATAAGTATATATAAGTATACTTTCTCTTATATAAGTATATATAAGAATACTCTCTCTTATATATGTATAATGTATGAATGTATGTATATATAATACTCTCTCTTAGTATATATGTATATATAAGTATACTCTCTCTTATATATGTATACTCTCTCTTATATAATATATTTCTATATATGTGTATAATATGTCATATGTGTATGTATATATATACTCTCTCTTAGTATATATTATATATAAGTATACTCTCTCTTATATAAGTATATATATGTATAAGTATATTATAAGTATACTTTCTCTTATATATTATATATATATATATATATATATATATATATATATATATATATATATATATATAATATATATATATATATATATATATATATATATATATATATATATAATAATATATATACTCTCTCTTTAGTATATATGTATTATATAAGTATACTCTTTTATATATGTGTGTGTGTATACTCTCTCTCTTAGTATATAAGTATAGTATATTACAACGGTTACTTCCCTATTGGCCCAACGAGCAACGGCTACAGGGTTACTTATGCAATTCTCTCTCTCTTAAATTATAACTTATAAATATATACAATATATTTACATATAATATATGTATATATAATATATAGTTACATAATAATTTAGAAGTATATACTAATACATAATTATATAAAATAATAATAATATTAAACTAGATTTTTAGCATTTTTTATCAAAAAAAAGAAAAGAAATTTAAAAAAACTAGGTGGATGAACTTATCTATTGTGATGGTGATGAATTCCAAAATAAATTGTATACTTTTAATTTGTAAATGATTTATTAATTATTAATACAAGAATTTATTTTTATAATTTTTTATTTATAATTTATGTCATTTTAAGTGATTAATAAAAATATTATTTTTTTTTATTTTTTTTGTCTTTTTTATAATTTAAACTTAAATAAAATTTAAAAATTTGAAAAAAAAAATTTAAAAAAAAAGAAAAACCCGGCCCCGCCGGCCCAGAACCCGCTCGGCCGGGCCAGGCCCGGGCCCGGACCAGCCCGGGGTACCCGCGGTCGCGCGTCGCCGGCTCCGGTTTTGCCCGGCCCGGGCCCGGATTTTCGGGCCGGCCCGAATGGACAGGCCTAGGTGTAACATTTTGACACAAATTCCCCTCTATCCTTCTAAATATAACTCCCAAACAAGATTAAAATTACATTTCCCTTCCTCCTTCCCCCTCTCTGCCCTCAATCCAAACATGCCAAAAAGTACCTGATGCCTTGAAGCCAAAAGATCATCTACATCCCTAACGGATCAAAATATTGATGCGCGTTTGACGAAATGTCAATTGTTTATCCCTTCCTAAATTTCGTGACGCTCGGCTTTCTCGTGAACTCCAACTTCACGTCTACGATGACAATGCCTAAGCCGCCAACGAGATAATATCGTACAAAATATTAAAACGTCGCTAAACAAAATATCTTCATCGGTCACAACTAAGAGCATCTCCAACCACAAAACCCAAAATAGTGTAGTTTTTACACCAAGTTGGTGTAGTTTTTACACCAAATCATTATTACATCTCCAACCCATTACACCAAATTTTACACCAAAAAAGAATATTCCTTTTATGATTCTTATCTTTTAAATTTTTTTACCTATTTTAAATATTTAACAAATTATATATTATATAATTATATAATACATTACATATAATTAATTATAATAATATATTTTATGAATAAAATACAAATATAAAAATAATTCTTAATCAAGGAAAGTGGCTTTCCATCAAAGCCCCAGATCCCCCAAATTTCTTCTCCTCCTCTTCAACCTTCTTCCCTTTTTCAAACCCAGCAAGCTTCTCCTCTTCCCTCACCCCCAACAAGCTTCGAAGCCTTCTGTGAATCAAATCATCAAACACTTGAAACCTCAAGACCAAATCCACAACATGCTGAGCCTCCTTCCTCTGCTCGTGGGCTTGAAGCAGCACCGATTCTTTCTTGCCTGTTGAAGGATGGAGAAGAGCTCGGGGGACATTGGGGGCTTCTGCAAAAATAAAAAAAAGGTTAAATTACTGCGCCAAAGCTACAGTATTGCGCCAAATCTGGCGCAATACTGTAGCAACTCATCAAAATAGCGCTGGATTTAACGCTCGGTTGGAGGGGGGATTTAGCGTTGGGTTTGCGTCATCTTGGTGATTTACCGCTCGGTTGGAGATGCTCTAATGCATCCCCAATATGAGACGTAACGAATAATTTCGATTGATGTCACGTATCCAATTAGACCGTTGTATTGATGTTTTGCTGAGAATAGATGGTCTCATGTCCATTAAATTTTTTTTTAAAACAGATCCATTTGCAAAAATGTTCCTAAAAAAAGACCTGTTTTGAAAATATTCGTAAAAAACGACCTAGTTTCAGCCTCAGGCTGAAACTGGGTCGTTTTTTGTGAAAAATGTTCCCAAATTTCACGGGAGTTGAATTCCCGTGAAGTTTTTTTCAAAACAAAATTTCAAGGGAGTTGAAGTCCCGTGAAGTTTTGTTATGAAAAAACTTCACAGGAGTTCAACTCCCGTAAAGTTTGGGAACATTTTTCCCAAAAAACATCCCAGTTTCAGCACTGAGCCTAAAACTAGATGGTTTTTTAAAAATAAAGTGGAAACATGTCTTTTTTTGGGAATAAATTTGCAAAAGGGTCTGTTTTCAAAAATTGTCCTTTTTTTTTTTCATCCTTTACAGGCAACTACTAGGGAGGTGAAGTACTGAACAGAGGAAGGGTGTAACCTCACAGGCGGTGACCATAACCTTCATCTACTCCTTTCTAAATTCTATCTCTTCGCCTCATCCAATTGCTCTGTAACGCAGCCGTCATTTCGGACACCCATAAACTAATTTTCTCGAAATAAAAGAACACAACAGAAAATAGTGGGACCCATTATTCTCCCGAACACAATTTTTTTTTTATAAACTAGTCCGTCGTGTAATTGAATTTCCTTTCGGGTCCCCAAATTCTCGTAAGCTATTTTGGAAATGGTCCCTCCAATCATTGAGATCGCTACCATATCTCACAATTTTTAGAAATTAATCTCTCAAGTTAAAAGTAGAAGCAGCAATTAGAGCGAGTAACTTTAAACATCTTATGTGAATTAGGAAACCTGATAGCTGGTTTTCATAGTTTTAAGGAACCTATGAATTAACGGGTCCGATAGCAATTTTTGATGATACGAGGGGCTAATTCGAATTAAGCTATAGAAGTTGGGGGGCCTCTCTGCTAGCGATGTCAATGATTTCGTGTGCAATTGACTCAACCTCCATTAAAAATACCTGATTTGGTGTAGTCGTACTTTCCCCTTGAAACTTTCTTTGGTCAAAAAGTTCATTGTTATAGTCTCTCTGTTCCTCTCTCCTCGTTTCTTTCTTCCTCCTCCTCCTCCTCCTTCATTCCTCTCTTCTAAAAATGTCTTCATCACCCTTGAACTCAGTAGCCCAATGGGTCCAAACCAACTACGCAGCCCCCATTGATTCGGTTCACCAGGGGTTGAGAATCGCCTATGTTGTTTTCTCTTTCTGCGCCGCTCTCTTCATTGGATTCCTCAAAGGTTCCACCTTTTTTTTTATTTTTTTTTTATTTCGTGCAAAAAGCTCAGTTTTCGTCGTGGGTATTTATCAAAACAAGCTTTTGTTGCTGCTGCTGCTGTTGTTCGTATGTGCAGCTGTGGTGGTGGGACCCATCGCGGGGCTTCTGCTGATGGTTGGGAACGTTGGGGTGATTCTGGGTCTTTTCCCCTTTCATGTGTTCTGGACCGTCTACTCTCTTCTCAAGTTGAGTTTTAGTTTCTCCCTCTGTTTTTAGCTCGTTATTTCTTTATTATTATTGTTATTATTATTTTTTCTAGTTTTCATGTCTGACCTCTAGTGCTGTTGGGTGATTTTGAATTTTGAATTTTGTAATGAGACGCCAATTTCTTAAAATATGCGAGTATTAGTATGTGATTTCTTTAAAAACTTATGAGAGGACGTTATGCAATTTAAGGGTATTGTTCGTGTTATAAGTTTTGGATGTTAAGAGGAAATGTCTGTTTGTATCACCGGAAATTGTGTTTTTGGTTTCAATCATGGATGGGGTTTCAAAAGCATGAGATGTTATGGTAGTGGAACAAATTGTGATGTCTTCTAGCCATGATTCGCTCTCAAAATGCTTATATGCTTTTACATAATTGAGTAGATATATATGCACGTACATGCATCTGATGGTGAACATTAATGCGCTTATGAGATTTATAATTTCCAAACTCCGTGGGTGCTGTCCCAAGCTAGAATAAAGGAGAATGGTTGTGTTAGGTAGTTGACAGCCAGCGTAAAACATAGTCGAATCCACATGCAAAATGAGTCCTATTATATACTCGTTGGGGCATCCCCACCGCGACGCGTTGCATCGATCCCACTCCGATGCAATGATAAGTAAGAAAAAGTGGTTAGCTAGGGCATCTCCCGGAAGCGACAAATTACATCGATGTCACCCCTGTGTAATGATAAGTAAGCAAATGTGCCTTAAGAATCTACAATCCTCTAATAGGGTACATAATAGTATTAGGCATAGACTAGAACGGTCTAAAAGGGAAAATGGTAGAAAACGCTTACAAGAAAATATAATTAGATTAGCTACTTGGAATATAGGGACACTTACCGAAAAGACAATGGAATTAGTGGATGTCATGATTAGAAGAAAGATAAATATAATTTATTTACAAGAAACTAAATGGATAGGTGAAAAATCTAGAAAAATTGAAAAGACTGGATATAAATTTTGATACACGGAAAAAGATAAGAATAGGAATGGAGTGGGAGTTTTTGTAGATAATATAATAAAAGAAAGTGTTGTAGATGTAAGAAGAGTTGGAGATAGAATAATACTAATAAAAGTTGTCTTAGGTATAGACGTTATTAATATTATTAGTCAAATAGACTTTTTTCTTACTAGAATACGAATAGGTTAATATGCAAGGATTATAAAGTTATACTAGGAGAGAGTTTAAGTACACAACATAGATTGATGGTTTTAGACATATCTATTAAAAAGTGGAGTAGATAAACTAACGTGAACAAGATTAAAAACTAAATGGTAGAAATTAAAAGGAGAGAATTTAATACATTTTAAAGATAAGATAATGAAAGAAGATATATGGAACATAGATAATAAAACTAATATTATGTGGAATAGCATGTCTTCTTGTATTAGGAAAGTGGTTAAAGATATACTAAGAGAATCTAAAGATTGTATTAGACGGTAAGGAGAGTTGGTGATGGAATGAGAGTGTGCAAAAGGTTATTAGAGAGAAGAAAATTTTACATAAAGAGTGACAGAAGTGTAGGAGTAAGAAAAATTTAGAAAAATATAAACTAGTAAGGAAGGAAATAAAAAAAGCGGTTAGTGAGAATAAATACAAAGCTTATGAATTTTTTTATAAGAAGTTAGATTCTAAGAAGGGAGAGAAAGATATATATAAGCTTGCTAAGATTAGAGAAAAGAAGAGTATTGATCTGGGTAATATTAGGTGTATTAAAAGTGAGAATCAAAGAGTTCTAGTGACCGACGAGGAAATAAAAGAGAGGTGGTGGGGTTACTTTTATAAATTGTTTAATGATAATCAAACAAGTGAGCAAAATAGAGATTTTGACCATATAGTGAATAATAGGAACTATATATATTGTCGTAAAATTAGGATTAGCGAGGTTAAAGATACTCTAAAGAAAATAAAAAAGTGGACGAGCCGTAGGACTAGACGATATCCCTATTAAAGTTTGGAAATATCTTAGAGATATTTTGGAGATATAGGCTTAGGATGGTTAACTAAACTATTTAATAAGATTATCGAGACAAAAAAATGCCGGATGAGTGGAGGATTAATATTTTGATACCAATATATAAGAATAAAAGGGATATACAAAATTATTTAAATTATCGAGGTATTAAACTCATGAGTCATACTATGAAACTTTGGGAGAGCGTAATTTAGCAAAAACTAAGAAAAAAAAACGTGTATCTGAAAATCAATTTGGTTTTATGCCTGGAAGGTCAACTATGGAACTATACATATTTTGAGAAGGTTGACGGAGAGATATAGAGAGAAGAGAAAGGATCTACATATGATTTTTATCGATCTAGAAAAAGCTTATGATAGAGTACCTAGAGAGGTAATATGATGGGTGTTAGAAAAGAAACATGTATCTAGTATATATATTGATGTGATTAAAGATATCTATGATAGAGTAATAACTAGAGTAAGAACTAATGAAAGAGAGACTAAACCATTTCCTATTACCGTAAGTTTACACCAAGGGTCAACTTTAAGTCATTATCTTTTTGCATTAGTTATGGACCAACTTACTAAGCACATTCAAGATAAAATTCCATGGTGTATGTTATTTCTTGATGATATAATATTAGTTAATGAAACTAGAAGAGACATTATTGCTAAAGTAGAAAGATGGAGACAAGCTCTTGAGTCTAAAGGTTTTAGAAATAGTAGAACAAAAACAGAATATATGGAATGCAGTTTTAGTAAAAGTAGGAAAGAAAGAGAGCCTATGGTACATATTAATAGCCAAAAAATACCTAAAACTAATTATTTTTGCTATTTAGGATCTATCATTAGGCATGAAGTGAGATAAGGGATGATGTTGTGCATCGAATCAAATCGGGATGGTTGAAATAGAGGAGTGTTTCGGAAGTCTTATGTGATCGTAGAATATTAATGAAACTAAAGGGAAATTTTTATAGGACGATTATAAAACCAACTATGCTTTATGAGTCAGAATGTTGGGCAATTAAAAATCAACATGTTCAAAAAATAAGTGTAGCAGAGATGAGAATGTTGCGATGGTATTGTGGGTATACATTAAAAGATAGGATAAAAAATAAATGCATCTGTAGTATATCAGAGGTTACGCCTATTGAGGATAAAATGAGAGAGAATAGATTAAGATGGTTTGATCATGTATAAAGGAGACCCTTTAGTGCACCGATTAAGAAAAGTGATAATATTAGAGTTAATGGGGCTAGGAGATCTAGAGGTCGACCTAGAATGACTTGGTCAGAAGTAATTAAGAAAGATATGATTAAGATTAACGTAACGAAAGAAATGACCCGCAACAGAATGGAATAAAAAAATATGATTCATGTAGTCGATCCCAAACATTTGGTATAAAGGCTTGGTGGTGGTTGTTGTTATTAGATTTATAATTTTCACAAATATTTTTCTGATGCTTAACAATTCTTGATGATTGTAAAGTAGGATAGTGTAATTTGGAAGTCGGCTTCTGGAGCTAGCTTTAAATTTCCGCACCTTCATATCACGCCATTACTTTGAAATACGTGAAAAAAGTTCTCTACTTACAATTTCAAGCCACAATCTTTGATTTCGGTTATTTAATTGTTAAAACTTAGTTACTTGTTGGCTTATGACCACTGTGCATTATGTCTTATGCAAACTTAGTTCTTCTGAATCTCTAATATTTACTATGTTGAATCCCAACATGAAAGGCTAGAACCTATCTTCTTTAATCGCACACATTTAAACAATTGTGTTGAAGGTCATGATTTGATGAAGTAAGGTCGAAGTGATACTTCTTTAGAATTTAGTGTCTAGGTGTGTCATGCAAATAAATTTCCTTGTCCGTGCTACTTAGTATGGTTATAGGATAATTTTTGTTTACACTTCACAGTTATAACTCTGTACTGAGCTCGATCCATTTCGTAGAGATCATGTGTATGTAGTATACTGTTGAGAGGAAAAGGGAAACTGTCATTTATCTGAAGTTCTTGTGGAATACATAGAAGCAAGAACACTAATGCTTCATTAACCTCCAAAAAGTTAGGCTCCTATCCTCTTATTATTATGATTTAGAGCAGTAACTGTTTAATATCTTAACAAAGCCTGTTACTTAAACTCTCTTTCCCATATAACTATCCTCTTCATGCTCAAATTTTTATTATCATTTAACGATGAGATAAAATCTGAAGATATAACATCCTAATTCAAGCTTCATTGATGCTTACAGGACTAATAGGATAAATTTGGCTCTTAAATTTGCACTTCTACTTGCCCTTCCTATACTCTTTGCCCTATGGTTGGCCCTTGGCATCTTCGGCAGTGTCCTTGTTGGAATTGGCTATGGATTCTTCACACCGTGGATCTCTACTTTCGAAGCATTCAGACAAGATAGTGAAGCAAAGAAGTTCCTCCATAGCATTGTGGTAAATAAAAGCAAAGTTCAATACATGTCTCTTCTCTTATGGGTTTTTTTCATCAGTTATGAATAGACAATGAATTAATAGTTTGATGATCAATTAGGACGGCACATGGGGGACAGTTAAAGGAAGTTGCACAGTGGTGAGAGACTTTGCAGATATTTGCTACCACTCATTCCCAGTTTATTTGAAAGAATTACGGGATTGTTCAGGGGATAATGAAACTCATTCAATCAGGTGCCTAACTTCTGCTAATTGTTCTCTTCATAGTTAAAGTTGATTTAGTTATTTGGTTCATTTATCATTGGATTTATCATGTAAAAGACA